TGTGCTTTCATGGACAGTGTATTCTTGGCTGTCTCCCTCTTCCCTCACTAAGACTTGTTGATCCTTGCCAAATGGCATGGTGGAGAATTACACCTGGGGTGGTTTTAGTGGACAGTTCTCTCCTTGTAAGTGAAGTTGAACACCACATACTGAGCTCATTGGGCAGCATTTGGAAGAGTCTGGATGGGAACTTCATCTTCCCTTTCTGCCTGGATGCCACAGCAGAGTGCTACTGTCACAGCTGCTGTCTCTTAGGGAACATTCTTTCAGACATGACAGGATTAATGGCACATCATTCTTTTTGTAGGTCTTATCGATCTTGCCAGTTTATGAAAATGAAGGGTTTGAAGGAATGAGAATGGCCTCATTTATAAAATGGATCTAATAATCTGTTCAGTCGGCTGCCACTTCATTAGGTCTGATATTATTCCCAATTAAGGTTATCATTGCTTTTTGTAAATTGATGGTTCTACCATTACTTGCAATTGGTGGCTAAGGAGATCCACCAGACACTTGAATTTTAAAGAATCTATTCTCAACCCTTCATTATTTTTTGTAGCTGGACATAATTCTTCAAGATTCACAGGAAGCTAAAACAGCCGCCCAAGGAACAGATGTTTGCATTGATACATCGTGACGTGGACAGTTACAGATGGTTTCCACAAAGTGGCTTTGGACTTAACATCTTGGGTTGTAGGTACGATAGAGACAATTTGCCATGTTTCAAAGGAAATTTATAAACCTGTGATGACCCCATTGTGTGAGAACATTTCCCCTTATTTCTCCTCTCTATGTTATTTCCCTTCTGGGACTTGGAAGGAAAATGTGATAGCCTAGGTCTGGAAAATGTGAAGCCCACACCAGTTCTAATGTTCACAAGAGCCCTGGGAGAGCAGGGGGCAGCACATTTGGAGCTGAGACAGGAAGAGAAGTACCAGGGGCTGAGGACTTGCTCTGTGCTCTGCCCAAAGATACAGCAAGGATAGTTTCTCTGCACACATTCTACAAAAGTCTCAGACCCCCAGAAGACACAGGACAGGGGCCTCCCTCTTTCCCTGGCAGACCTCCCCGCTCACCTTAAGAGACCCTGTGTGGTGGGCCTGACAGTATCACCTCCTGTCTCTTTAGATGGACTGGGCTCCTCCTCAGGTACTGAGAGGGCTGTGCTTGCATGAGACTCCTGTGTAATCCACCACATGAAGTGTGGGCACCAACCAGCCTTTCATCTGAAATCCATGCAGTAACCAGCTGTGGATTACGTGGGGGTCTACTTTCGGTTTAACAAAAGGCCATCCACCTAGCTGGCCCGTCTAGGCCAGAGAACTGGTCCTGTGCTGTCTTGATGGGTGGAAGCTGAGTACAGTGGTGTGGGGCAGCTTGTTTACTTGGAGGCTACAGTTTCCCTAGTTTTCTCTGTGTAAGGACACCACAGAGACAATTTTTACAAGGTCATTGTAGAAAAGGTGGAGTTTTGGGGGGAATTTGAAAAGAGGCTTGTGGACTTATTCATTAAACCCACTGAAGACCTACTATGTGCTGGGGAGACAGACTCACACACACCCTTCACGGTTGATTCCGGGAGAAGAGTGCCTAGGAATAGCAGAGGGTCAACTGGGAATCACCTAGTGTGACTTTTCCTACATTGTATAGGTGGATAAAGGGGTCATGGAACCACCCTCCCTTCCTTTTCAGGGCCATTCTGTTTCTCTGGACAGAAAAATCTGCTTCTTGATTGATCGACTGAACTTTGATTATTGTATTTCCAGTTTATAGGGCTGGGGATCTAGCTCAGTGGTAGAGCACTTGCCTAGCATGAATGAGGCCCTGGGTTCAGTCTCCAGCATCACAAAAATATATACATGCATAACAACATTTATGGATTTTTTTCCCAAGGGAATGAAAGCCCTTTCTCAGTGTCAGCTAACTTGTTTAGATTATAGCAAGTCCACAGTGAAGCCCAGATGGTCTTTTGAGTCTGATCAACTCCATGGCTGCTCTTGTGCCTCAGGCCCTGGGGAATAGTGTTATCATGGAGAATCAGGAGGTGAGAAGGACCCTGGCTCCAGATTTGGGCTCATCGTGTTGCCAGCTTTAGCTTTAGGGCAGATCTTAACCTCTCTGAGCCTTTAAGACTTCATTTGCAAATTAGAGTTAAAATAGAGCTGGGGATTTAGCTCAGTGGTTCGGCCACCTGCTTTGCAAGCACAAGGTCCCAAGTTTGACTGTGGGTACAAAAAAAAAAAAAAAATTAAAGTTAAAATAGAGGATGGTCACAGGATTAGACCCAAGATGATGTATGTAGGGTATTGTGCAAATGCCTGGCATTACCTGTTGCTCAATGAGCGATAGCTGTTTCTATCGCTCTAGGTGGGTATCATTTGGTGCACCTCTTAACCTCTCTGAGCTTCATTCCCCATCTGTGAAACAAGGGTATTTTTTTCACTCCAAAAACAAGGCCACATCTGCAGTCAGACTAGCATCAACACGGGCACCCTAACTCCTAGGCTGAGCAAGGTGATTCTGCAGCCCCAAGCTCACAAGCGTAGAGAAGTTACTTATGCTAAGTAAATTCTCCCAACCTTGCTAAAGATATTTATTTACTTATATTATTTTGATGGCACTAGGGATTGGACCCAGAGTCTTCATCCTGAGCTATATCCCCAGCCTTCATTTTTTATTTTGATACAAAGGTCTCTAAATCACTAAGTTGTCTGGTCTGGGCTCAAACTTGTGATCTTCCTGCCTTGGCCTCCCAGGGTGTTGTCTACTAATGAATTATTTTTGATCCCCAGGAGTTTGTCAGTGAGTAAGAACCATGCCAGGTGGTCTGGAGAAGGCGTGTCATCGGTGCATTTCTAAAATTGCCAGCAATGGTGAGTCACAGCTCTGAGGAATGCCCTAATTTTGAAGGACTTGAGGTTCTGGATTTGAATGAGTCATGTGCTTGGCTCACTGAGACCCCAGGGTAGAACGAGGGAAAAGAATATCCTGCCCTCTGTTGGCTGCTTTCAGCTTCTGCTCCTTACTTATTAATCTGCAGTACATAGTATGTACTTTCAATATTAATATGTATTTGAAAATGTTTTTATAAATGGAGGCCCCGATACAACCAATATGTAATGGCAGCAGAGCTGGGCAACAAGGCAGGGGATGTGAGTCGCTGGCTTTGGGGTAACTTTAGTTCGCTCCCAGCAACCCTCTGTGCTTGCTCCTACCATCACCTGCTAGGTCCTTTGTGTGCGGAAGGGCTGGACCATATTACAGAAGGCCCAGTCTGTACTGTGACATTTGGGAAGCAGCTGATCCCACGCCTGGGGGCTCCTTGAGATGAAAGCATTCACCCAACAGTGAGATGTGTGATCTGACTTTCCTGCAGGCAAAATGGGAATAAAGGGAAGATGTGGGAAACCTTAGTAACAAATCTCAGAGCAGTGATCTCAGGAAGCAGGTCAGTGGGTAGAAGTGGACTGAGGCAGAGTTAGGTGAACAGTTAGGTTGTCTGATGGGTGTCTGCTGTCCTGTGCTTACCTACTAGTCCCATATTACACCACCAACTCCTCACCTCCCACACTGCTCCTGTGACATCTCCTGCACCCCTAGCATCCACAGTCATTCCTGGCGCATAGTAGGAACTCAGTATGTATCCACCGGGTGCCCAAGTGGGCTTACACCTACTGTGATCTTCTCCTTCAGCTGATGTGCCTAGAGCCTCGCTCAATCCCCAAGGTAGAGCTGTGGGGGCCTCTTCCCCTTTCACCCCTGCAACACAGGATTGCTGTCAGGACCAGGGTGAACACACACAGGGCCCTTCACAAATGTGGGGAAGGAGAGACCATTGCTCTACATACTCTTAAAGTTACCCCCCCTCCATGCACATATCTGTCCTTCCTGTTCAACAAGAGCCCTGCCAGTGGCATCAGGGTGGCAAAAGAGGCAGTCTAACTCTCAGGACTTCCCAGAAAAAGAGGAGTTCCTGGCTACTCCCCTGCTCAGACCTTTAACTCCTCCTGTGCCTCTGAAGCAGCAGGAAAGTGCTGGTCACTTGTCCATCTGTGGGCTCCTTATCCTTGAGTTCTCTCCTCTTGGGCTTTGCACTTCACCTCCAGCTTGGATGCTAACAAGACCTCTAACTGCTCTCCCACGTGGTCTCCTGGCTGGGCTGCACAATGGCCACCAATGCCTGCAAAGAGAATTCAAACTCCAAATCTTTTGGAGTTTTGGTCTGTATTCTTGTATTGCTTCTTCTTTCCTTTCTCACCCGGGAAATCCAGAAGGACAAAAGCATTTTAACTTCCCTAAAAATGCCATGTGGTTTTGTCCCCTGGATTTTCCAAAATGTGTCTCTTCTCAGACTTCTTTTCCTTCACACCTGCCCTTTCAGTAAAGGTGAATTGGACAAGGAGATGCAAAGTCTAGGAAATTGTGACGACAAGCAGGATATTTGCCTGGTCTTGAGATCTAACCACAGATTCCTTATTAATAGCAAGGAAGAAAAAACAGTAATTATACAGTGGAGAAACTGGGCCAGACTTTGAGTTTCAATATTAGCATTACCATTAAGAACAGGTGGCCATGACCTCTGCAGCGATCCAGCCAACTCTGTGTGACTGTAATTTAAACACAAGGGAACGTCTAGTAAGCACAAAGGGAGGAACGTTCTATTAAAACTCAGGGAATAAGAATGTATTCTTTAAAATGTCGCATCATAGAAAACAAAGAAAGACTGTGGAAATGTTCCAGAGTCAAGAAGGTGACTGAATAGGTTTTGCACTTCTGTAACAGAAGGCCACAGACCGAGTGACTTCTAATAAACAGAACTTTATTGGCTCATAGTGCTAGGGGCTAGAAGTCCAAGATGGCGGGGGGCGGGCGGAATCTGGTGATGAAGGGCATCACATAGAGAAAGAGAAAAAGGGAAAGGAAGAAGGGAAGGAGAGAGGGGGAGAGACAGAAAGAGAGCAGGCTTCTCCATCGCTGAGATAACTAACCCGTATCCGAGATAACATTAATCCTTTCATTCTGCCCTCATGGCCTAATCACCTCTTATTGACCCCCGCCTCCCACACTGTCACACTGGGGATCAAGTTCCCAACACATGGACTTTGGGGGACACATCTAAACCACAGTGGGAATGAAGGGGATAAGTCAACAAAATGCAATAACTGACCCTAGAATGGATCCAAGGGTGTCATTAGGTTATCATCATTGGAGAATGGATGGTAGATTAAAGTAAATATCAGAAGCTGCAACTGTGCTAATTTGAATAAGAGAATATCCTTATCCTTAGGAAATGCACACTGGGATTACTTCTAACTGAAACATTAACAAACTTTAAAAGTCCGCAGACAAAATCCCAAGTGGCAGATGTCTGAGTGTTTGCTTTGCTCTATATACTTTTATGAGTCTTCTCAAATTTTCACAATGAACTTTCCTTTTGGAATTTATGCTGGGAAAAATTTTTACCAGCTGTTCCTCAGACAAAGGACTTCTAACTAGAATATATAAAGAACTCCAAAAAATTAGACCCCCCCAAATATAAAGACTCAGTTCAAAAATGGGCATCTGAGGTGAGCAGACATTTCTTAGAAAAAGAAGTAAAAGCAGCAAATAAATATATGAAAAAATGTTCAACATCTCTGGTCACTCAAGAGATGCAGATGAAAAAAACGCTGAGATTTCACCTTAACCCATAAAGAATGGCTGCTATCAGGAAATCAAACAATAACAATGTTGGTGGGGCTCTGGGGAGAAAGGAACCCTGCTCCATGATTGGTGGGAGTGCAGGCTGGTGTAACAACAATAGAAATCAATATGGAGATACCTCAAAGAGCTGGGTCTAGAGGCTCCATTTGACCCAGCCATCCCTGTGCTGGGTATCTTTCCAAAAGAAGTAAAAGAATCATACCACAGTGATATATGCACACCCATGTTTATAGTGGCACAGTTTGTAATAGCTAAAACTTGGAAACAACCCAAATGCTCATCCACTGGAGATTGGATAAAGATGTGGTTTTTCTACAAAGTGGAGTACTACTCAGCCATAAAAAACAAGAAAATAGAGACATTTATCACTAAATGGATGCACATTGAAGCTATATTCTTAAGTGAAATAAATGTGACACTCGAGTAAATCCCGAATAATTTCTCTGGTATGAAAAACTAAAAGTGTAAATAAGGTTCAAATCGTATAATTGATAGTGTGAAATAGGAAGAAAATAGCTAAAGGGGAAGTTGGAAGGGGAGGGGAAAGGAAATAAGGGAAAAGAAAAAATGTGAAAAAAGGAAAAAATGGAAACAAAGTCTTAATAAATAGGGATGGGTGAAGTGGGTGAAGGGAGGGCAGGGGTACGGGGAAAAAATAAGAACCATGATACATCATGTAAAGGTACAAGATCCCAATGATGAATGTAACTGTATTGTTTGCTTTAAATGTACAAATAAACAGGAAGCAAAAAAACTTAAGAGGTGGGAGGTTTAATTTGGCTCATGGAAAAAAAATTTTAGGCTGGGAAAGATTGGCATCTTGGGCTGACCCTAGCACTAAATGCACAAGCATAGGCCACAGTGCTTTCCTTTCAAGTGACATATTTTCTTCTGTATTTCTCACATTTTCTATAAAGTATTGCATACTTCCATGGCTAAGGGGTAAAATTATGTTTAAGACAATCTTCAGGCATCATCCGAGGTTGGTTTGTGGCTGTCCCTATTGATATGTGAGGTCAGCTAAGGGAAGATGGTGAGAGTTCTTAAAGAAGTGACTTTTCCATCTGTGCATCCCTTCGTGGGATCAGGGCAGGCTCCACTGTGCTTTCGGGCCCCAGGGAGTCACCTGGGGGAGCTTTTTGGGGCTCCCCTGGGCCACTGCCTTCCCTGGGCCTCGGCCTCCCCCTCAGGCTGGTTCTCCCCAGCAAGCTCCGTGTGCTGGGGAAGGTTTGCTTCCCTGCAGTCTGCTGCTACGCTGGGGGATCGCTCACGACTGGGAAGCCATGGAATCTTGATGAATGCCTGTGCATGAGCACAGCCGCTTGCATCCCTCACAGAGAACTCAATTAAATGTGACGGAGCGGTGAACTGGAGTTATTGCACCAGTCACAGGGTCCTAGGAAAGCCCTTAACTCCGTGAGGAAAGGCAGCCTGGAAAGGCTCAGCAAAGCCCAGGTTCAGGAGGGGCATGGAGAGAGGCAAGATCTAAGGAACTGGAATGCTGGGTGATATTTGCAGCCCCCAAAACAAGAGGGCTCATGCAAGTCAGTATGCAAGTCTATGGATAGAGACCAGCAGATTTTATTCTACACTCTGGCTATGTGAAACTCTATTTCTTTATTTGATATTGGAAGTTGAACTCAGGGCCTCACACATGCTAAGCACATGCTCTATGTGGACTTAGCCTCCCCAGGCTTATTTATGCTTTCTGTTCTTTAAAAAAAATTTAAAACTCTCTCTCTAAATGAAATTATTCTAACTCCTTGCTCCTATATGTCAGAGTAGCAGGCAGGTGAGTTTTGAGCATTGCAGGTCACACAAGGACTCAGACAGTGGAAGTTGGGGAGTGTGGCATGCCTACCTCTCCTGGGGGTCTGGGCAGGGACTGCTCCTGCTCTCTGGGAAAGGACATTACGAGCCCCTGTGCACCCCTTGGTCTTGTACCCTCCTGCCAGCAGTAGTTCCTGGACACACATCTTGGTGACAGATGGTATTTGTGTTGGAAGGAAAGGACGTCTGTCCCACAGGCAAGAAGGATTTGCATCTCACTCCTAGCCTCATCCAGGCTCCTTCTTCCTTTCAAAACTACCCAGTAACACTCTTGGGCCAGCACTAGAGCCAAATACAGAACAGCAGGATCTTTAGGAGCGGGGATGGGAGTGGGGTGGGGA